ATGGCTAAGCTCCATCTTATATCAGACTGGTCCTTATATCCCTAACAGTGCACATTGCTTTTAATCTGCAGATACGTACTAGTGGATCCTGGAATTTCTAAGAAAAAAAAAAGAATGAGAGGCAGATCTTTTAGTTATCAGGCTCCTCTCCTATAACCAACAAAACGTTTTAGTCCATGAAGAGGACACTGTATCTTCTTCTAAGGCTAGGCTTAAAACTTTCCTTTTTGATAAAGCTTCTAGTTAGAGTGGCTCAGGTTATTCTGAGCTATCTCTATAGTTCTGCTGCTATAGGCTTAGACTGCTGGAGGACATAGAGACCCCTTTTTCATCATTCTGCTTCATTCTATCTCCATTTTAAAATTCTGCAGTATTTGTTATCTCTAACCTTATGCTCTCTCCGCTTTTTCTCATCATATAGTAGTAGCTTCATCTGGTCTGTTCCCATGTGGGTTTGACGCCATGCTGGAGAGAAATATCAGCTGCGCTGCTGCCATCAACACCTTTGTTTATAGTTGTTTGTAGATGTTTACAGATGGCCTTTTTTTGTGTAGTCCTGTTTCTCTTACGGTATGGATCTCTTTGATCCTCTCTCATGGGAGCTGGCTTGGAGCTCGTCTGCCTGGCTGTGTGTTTCCGTGAAGCCTGTATAGCTGGTTTACTGTTGTCTTTTGTAGACTTTGACTTAGACAGATTTTATTTGTCATTTTGTTAACACAAGTGTAAAACAAAAATGAATTTCATTTGGAGCAGCTCTCTGGACAATTTCATCTTTTTTAGTGCAGCCTTGAAAAATAGTAAAAAATAAATATATAAAAACATTAATATAAACATATGACTATACATTTTCAGTTCTGGGAATCTCCTCCTAGGTGTGTGGGTTGTTCCTCCTAAGGGGAATGGCACCTAGACCTGACTGGATAGGGTAATATTCCTTATTCTGGGCAGACTGAAGTGCAGGGAGCTTAGTTTACCCCAGGACTCTGCCGTTGGCTCCGGTTATATCTGGCCGACCCAATCACAAGGCAGAAGGTGAGACTTTTATGATGTATCACTCTTTCTGCTTTTCTACTAGCCTAACAGCAAGAAGGCGACCAAAACGGAGCAATGTTTTAATGATGCCCTTTCTAATGTAATTACTGAGATTGATATAACTTTAAAAACAACAAATGACAGCTTTAGTGTACCGGTAATTTCTTTTCATATTTAATATTCTCAGCTTGACATGTTTCATGGACTACATAAGTACGAAAACAGGAAACGTCGCTTGCAGTCTTTGCACCACTGTCTGTTTGGTTCCAACCTGATGACACGGATCCTGTTAGTCCCGCCTTTAAAACCGAGCTCTACCAGCTCTTTACCAGACTGATACGCTGTGTTTACACTGTAGAAGTTAGGCTGGCCAGGCTACATATTCCAACATGACTCGGCTAGAGTTTCCGACCATACAAGCTGACAGAGGTTGAAAGAAGGTTGGAAATTTTAAGGGAGGTGGAATTAAGTTAAAATCCTTTGCAAGAGACAATAAGAAGCCCTGCAAAGGTTGTTTTGGGGCTACCGACTGGGATGAACTGTGACAGTAACATGGAGAGGACATCAGTGCAATGACTGTGTGACTGATTAAATAATAAACCTCTGTGTAAATAACACCACCCTTACCAGAACAGTGAAATTCTTCTCCAACATTAAACAGCAGAGCACTAGAGACCTGAAGGAACTGCTAAACAACAAGGGATAATGGGGGCAGGGAATTACTGAGGAGTATACAGAAGTAACTTAAGGCCAAGATAACAGAAGGCAAAGAGGCATACAAAAATAACCCGCAAAGCAAGCTCCAGCAGAACAATATTAGAGATATGTGGTCAGAGATGCAGAGGATTACAGGTTTCAAGCAGAATTTGGATGGAAGTCTGGTCAGAGCTAATGAACTGAATACATCCTGCAACAGGTTCAGTTCAGGAAACAGCTCAGCGTCCCTTTGTCCTGCCCACAGTCATATGACTGGTCTGGGTTTGCTTTGACCTATTGCTTCCCTCTCACCTTTACTTACTTTTCAATTCAGTGGTTTTGCCTTTGACACAGAATGAGCTGGGAGAGAATGCAGTGATCTGCAGTAAATAAGCATGGCAAGGAGGTTAAAAGCCTTTGACTATAGCATAGTCCAGCTTCTGGAGCAGGTCGCCTGGTAGGAATCCATCCTCTGCAATGGACCAATAAAAGCAAACCCGGACACAAACAGTGTGATAAATGCAGAAAGATAATGTGATGTAAGAGTTACAAGGTTAAAGTTATAAATTAAGAAGTTTGAACATCAAAGTAGCAAGATAGTGTGAGAAACCCTGTGAAAGATATATTTTTTCAATTATTTGCTCTTCTCAATCAATGCATTACTGCCCCTGAAACAATATGCTGTGACTTTGTGACATTTGGCCTAGTCCCAAAAAGTTTATGTGAAATCCAGCATTTCCTACATCATAAAACAGATGATTTAGGCTCAGAATTGAATTGGAATTAACTAAAGAAGCAAGAGCGAAAATTCAGAGTAAAAGATTGAATTTAGTCCCACTTCTCATTCAGTCGTAATCAGAGCCTATCAGCCTTGTGGCCGCCTCCACCATGGCCAATCATCATCTGGGATTTGCCATCCAGGTGCAAACCACAATCTCCCCAGGCGGGAAACATTCCTATCCTTATTCATTTGCTCATTTATAACATCATAATTCTTTATACTTATGTCTTCCAGAGATCTCTGAGCACCAAAATCTATATTTCTCATTTCTCATTGTTGCTTGAGTGAGTCTTTCCAGGTTGAATTGCTTTAATATTTAGTGTTTTGCTTCCTTTTGAAACAAACTAATTGAAACTGTATTTTTAGACAAAGCACACAAAGATATTTTTTCATGGTGGATTAATTGTTTTGTTCAAAATAAAATTCAGGCTAGAATCGTTACATTTACATTTAGAGTGCCAAAACAGGATCACTGGAAAAAACATTTCAGATGCCCACATCATGACTGATTCAACACATATCCAGTGTTAATATTCTTCAAATTGCCACAAGGAAATAAAACAGAAACTTAAAATGTTAATTCAAAAAAGTAATGTGTTTATGTTAAAACGACTAGCTGCTCTTGCTCTCTCTTTTAGGCTACTATAACCAGCTGCCACCTTAATTACGTTATTATATTTTTATATTATTATATTACATTTGTCAACTATCAAACTCTTTTTTAACCCAAAATAACAAATTTCCATCAGTTTAGTGCTAAAAGGTGAAAAAAAAATAATCCAAACTGAAAGAAAAAAAAAAAAATACTTCCTCTGTTTGAAAATTTAGGACTCTGACCCAGAAAAACTTTTTCTGTGTACATCTGTATTTGAAAGCCCCCTAGCAGATTTTGATAAGAATTAATAATAAATATTTTGAGCCTGTGTATGTTGTTTGAATGCATGAGTGAATTTCAATGCAATGATGGACGTATAAGAAAAGCCGACTTTATCCTTGTATGTACAGGAGAGGAGGAAGATCCATTCAGAATAAAGACCTTGAGTTTGGGTATAAAAGACTGCATTTATTTTGCAAATAAATGTATTTATGTTTTGAAAGCTGAAGAAACCAAGAGGCATGACCCTCCCCTAACCACTTTTACCTTTACCTCCATGCCTTTCCTACTGTCAATTTAGCAATAGGGCTGCACCTTAGCTACAGCCCCTGAACTGCTTTTTTCTAATTGAATTTCTATTCTTGATGGTTTATATTCACCTCAGTTAGGTCTTTTTTTGCCAATTTTTTACTTTGAAGTAGAAGTATAGGTAGGCAGGTAGGTTTTGTCAACCGGAGTCCTAACCAAGTTATTTTATCTTTGCCTTTCGGCAGGAAGTCATCCTGCAAACTGGATGTTTTCGGACCTTCTCTCCCTGGAAGGATCATCTGCGCTTCAAACTGAGCTGGTGATTCAGACTTGAAGTTTGGATCTACTTTCCTCCCAGGGATTGTTTGAGCTTCACACTGAACAAGGGATTAATCTCCACACCAACCTGTTCAAGTACCGCAGGAAATCCAAGTGGCAGTAAGTTTCTCCGTTCACCTACAAACAACCGTATTCTGGATATACCCTGTCCGCCCTCCACCGAATCAGACAAACACTGGAACTACCGCACACAGACCGGAGTGAAAGAGTCAACCACTTTTCTGGAAACGTGAGTCAGCAACCTAATTCTTTTCTTCAAGTTCAAGAATCAAATTTCCCACTGAGCCTGAACTAACCGCAGTGTCTTCCACTGACTTTCCAGTTCCGGTTGAGCAGTGTTCAGAGCAACACTAGATCCTGCATTATCTCCTCAATAAACCTGTTAAACCTTTTCCCTGGTCTCTCTGAATTGGTTTCTCTGCATGTGGGTCCGAGCTCTTGATAAAATCATGACAGTGTCCAGTGTAGTTCTGGATCAGGGCCCCGCCTGATACTTGTATCGGTGCAACACTAATTATGATTGCCACATATGTTTCTGTAGTCCATCTATATCTTCATATAATACAGGGAGTTAATACACCACTCAAATTTGTACACATTTTTTTCCGCTTTGCTCCTTAGTTCATATACCGTTTGTTATTTTGAGATGTTGGTTCTGCTCCTTCTTTTTAAGGAATGTTTCAGCCTAATCCACCACAGCTTTTTTTAAATTATTATTCATATGTATTTGTTTAAATTTGTAACCCTCACACCCCTGATATTAGAAACTTATTTAATATCAACCCCTTTTTTGAGCTGTTTTTCTGTCTCCTATGTTTGCAATAATAAGTTGAAACATTGATCCTTATGTTGTTTCCACTATGCGGTTTCTCATCAACTTGCAGGTGCAAATCAGTGAAATAATGCATGTTTGGTTCTAGCTTGAGCTAAATGCTCAGCACCGCGGTGCTGATGTCTCCATCACTGTGATGCTCCAATTAAAGCAGAATCAGTTCCAGCCTAAACAATAAATGAATTACATACAAACCATTTCATTTGAATATTTTTTTTTTATTTGTCGCGCAACATAAAACAATATTGTGGGGTTTCCAACCACATACACTATGTATTCACATAATACACCATACAGCTACAAAGAGAGGGAGAAAGAGACTCAACAAAAACACCTCTTTTTTTTTTTTACATACTGCATCATTGAGACAAAAATAAAAGAACCAAAAACAATCCTACAAATCAAAAAGGAATGTAGCTGCCACTTATGTAGGTGCATTTTTACTTTTCATCTGGGCCAGGGTTCAAGTCTCTGTTTCTTATTTGGAGAATTGGGTGTTTCTATTTCCTAGCAATAGGGCAAAGAAAATGAGATGCATGTTTTTCGTCCGTGAGTGATTCAGAACATCAAACTATAGTATAAGGTTAGCAGTAATAGATGGGTATGAGGAAAAGGAAGTGCATGACAAGGGAGTTAAAGAGGCAGGCAGTACACAATTCCGGGATTGTTCAAAAACCTTAGCATTCGTCTAACATGTACATTTACAACATCCTCAAAAAAATTACTCTAATAGACTTTGGTACTCGCTGTACCAAATATAAACCCCAAATAACAGTCCTCATATATTCTGATTCTACTTCTCATCCTAAATTCACTGGCTTGAAGTATACTTGTGGAATGAATAACATGATCGGCGTCAGAAAGAGATGTAGCGTTGTAACAAAAGACTTTTATATAAAGCCAGCACCGAAGGGAATCTTTCCTGAACTATGAAACTGCTTGGATTCAAAATACAGTTTTATTGACATTCAAAGACCTCAGAAAAAAAAATATTTGTGGTATTCAAATTTTTTTTTTTTTTTACACAGTGAATTTTAAGGTGTTAACATCATAGCACCACCTGTCTGACCTGTGTTCTTCCCCAATCACAAAATATCCCACCTTGTGAGAACCCCCAACAGAACATGTGGGACATTAAGAGATTTACAAAGTAAGATTAGAAATGTGGGACACAACATCCTCAGCACCATTAGGATAGTATAATGTGGTTTATGTCATATGCTCAAAAAGGCAAAACAGCCCCGGTGGAACTCCTAATCCCGCTGTATGCATCCTAGAATATAAGAAACACCAGAGGAGTTAATTAGAGACATATCTACGAAAGCAGGGCAGCAGCACCTGGCCTGATGGTCTGACTCAAATGGGAGTGATTAGCAGGCTTTAGCTTATCTCATTAAAACACTGTTTTCTGATCCAAGCCATTGCTGTCATTAAGTTCGATCTCCTCATGCTCAATATCCAGATAAAGTTGGTCAATTAAACTTTATATGTGGGCACAAAACTGTAATCCAGGGGTTCCAGTTTAAATTGTATTCTATTAAGGAAGTAAGTTCCACAATGGGTACTGTCAGATACCACACATCACTTACCTGGGCTTATGAATTACCTTCTGTATAGCAATGACACTCTGTCATTACCGGCTGTTATGGGGTACAGTACTTATGAAAACAACAGCAGTGTAACTGAGGGAAAGTTTATACACAACACATCAAGAGCAAGTGTTGTAAAGGGTTTGCTGAGAGTTTAGCATACCCCCTATGTCATTATGATTTAGTTACTATCCTCACCAGTTAAATAATCTTACCTAAATAGTTTAATATTTACATTTTGTATCTCTCTCTAGAGAAAATGAAAACAGCAACAAAAAGAAGAAAAACCTAGGCTTCAAGTTGTCAATAATCGGTTCTTTCTTTTGTCTTTAAAATCAAGATTAAAAGTGCTTTTATAAATCTTTTCTTATCTATTTACAATTTGTATTAGCTATATAAAAAATTAAAAAGGAAATAACATCAAAGACAATCATCATCATCACAATGTAGTAATAAATAAGAGTAAAAAAAGCTAGTTTAAAATGAGTGTAGAAATCTAGAGCACACAAAGGGACATGCAGGACTTTCTGCCCTCAGTAGCAAGTTGTGATCGTGACCAGTGTCTCTACAGCATGAGGTAGAGAGCTGGAGGCCTTTCAGGGGAAGGATCAGGATCCTTCACCTGGGTCTTGACCAAAACAACAACTTCTATAGAGTTGTAGGTCACTCGTTATCATTTTCAATAAGTAAACTACGGGATCGTGTAGGAAGAAAAAGATAAGTGATTCAAAGCACTCTGACAATGCTATCAAGTAGCCTCTCTCTTTGGTTTTGGGTATAAAGCCGTTCTTCCAGAAAAACACTATCATACACCTCCAGCACACAAAGTGAGAGATTATTTGATCTGCATTCGGCTCCTACTCCCTGAAGCTACAGTAATGCATTACAGTTTGCCTCTCAGTTCTGTTCTCTCAGTGGATAGCACTGCTGATGTGTTACTAAGGTGTGTCAGGTCTACCTGTGCTTTCTTTGCCCTGGACAATGTAGCTCTGTTTCTTTCTGCTAGGGTAAACACTAAAAACACCTCAACAGAAACCAACTCTTGAGCCCAGTGGCAAAGCTGCAACCCCCAAAAAACTATTTGATGGCTGGCTTTGTGGAAACAAGGTGCCTATTGAAGGACTTGCCTGGTTCTGCCCAGTGATGACAGCACCATACAGAGGAAGGACTGGGCTCTCTGCAGTAAATCAAGTTTAAAAGGACAGCACCAAAATGTGAGTAAGAGCACCAAGCCCACTGCAGTCCAATCAGTAAATCCTTCTCTTGGAGATTAGGAATAGCTTTCCATATGCATAGCCATACTTTAGCCACACCTGTTCCTAGAAGGGACAACAAAATCAGCTTGAGCTGTCTCCCAAAGGCCAGCAAACAGGGGAGGAGGACCCCATCTACTGGCCTTGGATGGTTAATGCAGCAAAGCAAGGCTTCACTTGTTTCTGAAAGAACCTCAAGTGCTTATTGAATTTGCAGTCCCTGTTGCCCTCTAGAGTTCACTCTGGAAACTTTTTATCCCTAATAAACGTAGGAAGATAAGGAGCACAACTCACATCAAACCTATGTGGAAATTGCTGATCTGACTCGAAAAGCATTTGCAAATTTTCTTATTTTCACTTCTGTGAAGAAAAAGGAGACCTCTATATTAACACCTGTCAAAAATAACAAATCCCCCTTGCCAAAACTAGTCGAGGCAGATTTGAGCACCAAAATACAGCATCAAGTGCCATGAAGAGAAGCTGATGGAAAACTGGTCAGATCCAGAGTCGAGCACCAGTTGAAAATTCTTGGAGTGCAGATAAATAGGAGGAGCACATCAACCTAGCCACAAGCAGACAAAAAGTGAGTCTGCCTTTTCTGTGCTCACAGGTAAAGGAAACCTATTTTTTCAGGAGGTTTTTCAAAGAAGTATATAATAATTTATAAAAACAATTCCAGCCAAATTTCAGAGGAAGAGACTGGACTTAACTATTCCAGGGTTAAAACTAAATAACTTTGGGCTTTAAATCACTCTTAGGAGTTTTTGTTATGATATAAATTTCTGGAAGATATCTTGGTCAGATCCATATTTATGCATGTGGCCAATTTTGTTTTCTATAATATCACTTTTCTGTCTGATTGGGCAGATTAGTGCTTCTCCTATAGATAGAGTTTTAAATTGACAAAGAAAAAGGAAATCTAACAGGAAAAATGGGTACTGTTTTTCAAACATGGAAAAAGCAACTTGGGGTACTGATTAAAAATATAAAAAAAAAATAAAAAAAAAACAAGTATCCCATTAATATTAACATTAATGAAAACAGCAATAAAAAACAAGTGTTCATTATAATAATACCTGTAATAACAACATTGACAGTAACAATAGCAATCATAATAATAGCAATAATTAGAATCATTAAAATTTTATGAACAAGAAAAAAAGCAATGGAGTTCCTCTCCAGAAATGAGAGAGGAAGAGCACCACAGGCAGTGTGTCTGCAGCCCAAACCACTGCCTGACATGAGGTAAAAACAATAAAAACGTCCTCTCCTTATAGATGTTGAAGAGGGCTGGATGGAGAGATGCCAGACTGTAAAACAGCAAACAGACATTTCCGTTTTGCTTGTTGCCTTCCCTACTTGTCCAATGCACCACTTTAGGGCTTTCAGTCTTTCTGTGTCTGTCTTGCCCTTAGACAAAGTGGCTGTAGGGCCCAGTGACACGAGTGAAGGCATAGGGAGACACAGTTACCATAGAGGTCGTGTAGAACGTGTGAGATAACCGTGTCACTGGGCCGTCCTTCTTGTCTTTAGACTGCCCAGGTCCTGGACTAGCACCTGCCAACAGAGACCCCCATTTGCGTTTCTTCCCGTGTGCCTTGATGTCTTCCTGGGAGAGGCCAAGGAGAGCTGCTTCCTGCTGCCTCTGTAGTTCTCGCTCTGCCAACAGCTTCATTTTGGCCTCCCACACGGCCAGGCCGTGCATTGGCTGATTAAGGTTCTTGTGCTGGTAGAACACCAGGGAAATGCGACTGGGATGGGTACGATCAGGTTTCTTAAGTGGAGTGGTAGCATGTAGTTCCCGACGGGCACATTCTATGAGGACGGAACCATGGGCTGGTGCTACTGCAACACCACCGATTGTGGGATCCAAGAAGTTGTGTTCACTGTCAGACCACACCTCATCATCTTCCTCACGATGTTTTGAACTTTCAATGTCACTCTCAGCTCGACAGGGGTCGTAATGGGCCTGATCAGACTGTTGCAGCACATCAGGGAACAGGCGACCCTCTGGTGCAGGGGATGGGGTGCTGCCGGCAAATGATCCTCCACAAGATTTCCAGGCCTTTTCTTGGATCCCCAGGGGAGTGGAACACCGATTCTCCCCAGTCTTTGACCACATCTTATCAGGATAGGCTCCTGCCACACTGCTGTGTTTCAAACCGGGGCTATAAGCTCCAGGTCCGATACCCCAAGGATTTGGCTGAGGGCTAGGAGCAGGACTAGCCCAGTGCCTATTGGTAGGTTGTCCTGGGGTCATTGGGCCTGGGGTGGCTGGACCTGGGGTGCCTGGTCGTAGAGTGTTTAAGCCTGGGGTACTTGGACCTGGGGTTCCAGTGCGAGGGGTGGATGGGCCCGGAGTGCCTGGTCGTAGAGTGCTTAAACCTTGGGTACTTGGACCTGGGGTTCCAGTGCGAGAATTGGGTGGACCTGGAATGCCAGTGACTATGGTGCCTGGACCTGGGGTACCAGGCTTTGGAGTCATTGAACCTGAGTGTGAGGTAAGAGGTTGTGGTGTACCCGGATAAGGAGCACTGTGGCAAATGGAGCCTCGGTAAAGGTTATCCTGGAACCCAGTGCCAAGGTGAGGAGATGAAGGTGGAGATTCAGGTACCTGGAGTGTTGGATTGGTAGAGGCTATGTGGGGGGTTGAGCCAGGGAGGGATACCCACTGTGGAGGATAAGGGGACGACTGACGCTGATGGGCATGCTGGTGAAATTGCTGCTTGTCTACATTTATTGAGGAGACATCAGGACTTTGTCCACGGTTTATATGGCCCTCCCAGTTATTTGGAACAATGCTTCCATTAATCTTATAACCAGGCCAATGCGCAGGCTGAGGGGTGCTTCTTGATGTATTGGCACACGACTGGTTTGGTAATGCACCTTCATAGACTGGCACATCCATGGGCTCTTGTTTGATGAGTGGTGTGCTTCTGTTGGAGGTCTCAGAGGAGACAGAAGAAGGACGGGACAGGTTATAGTTTGCAGGCTGGCTATAAGAGCTATTATTTTGTTGGTTGTTTTGCTCTGGGTGGCTGATTGAAGACTGATGCAATTGGCCCTGAGGGCTCTGAAGGTCAGACTTTCTATCTGCATCAAAATGTTTACTTCGACTATACGTCTTCATCCCAGGCCCAAAAAGGGTATTTCGGCGCTGGTTGTAGTAGCCATAGGGTCTTGCTGGCAAATCGGAGTGGTAGCCATTTACTGTGTCTGCGGTAGAGGGCTGGCCTGCTGGGGAATGGGCTCCCCTTGCATAGTAGGCAGGATTCTGATAGATGTTATTGAATGGGTCTGACGCCTGCACAGGGAATCCGTCTATTGATCCATTAAGGGGCTCCATCTTGATGTTTGGCTTCATCTCCTGTTTTATCATTTCTGAAAGACAGATTACAAATCAGTGCAACGTTTTCACTCCAGGCCCTGTATTGAGTAGTTTAAGCGCATTTCACTCTACATTTTTGAATTATGGAAATACTTAAATAAGGTCAGGTCAGAGCAAAGGTTTACAGTAGGTTAAAAAAAGAAAAATAATTAAATTATCATTACATCTTTAGTTTAACCTAAGTGACAATCAAAAACCCCAAAAGAATGACTAACCTTTATTGCCCAATACGTGAGGAGAGTTGGTGATGCACCGTTCAGTCTTGATCACTGTTTTCTCAGGTGTTTCCCCTGCCTGCTGTGCGAGCTTATTTTTCTTCTTCTCTGAGGCAGCCTTCTTGGCATCCAGCCTACGCTGTCGGCAAGATTTAGCAGGCTCGGGTAACTTGCGTACCTCACGACGGAAAGCTTGGAGTACTTGTATGGCTCCAGTCTCCATCTTGCGGCGCTGTGCCTCTGCGCTGCCAAACTCGTCTGTAAGTGATACTGTGTACAGTGGCAACACATGGAGCTGCTCATCTTCAGGGATCCCCCCTACATTTCGGTTGTCCTCCTTAGTCAAAGTACACACCTAACAAAAGATAAAAAGTAACATATCAGATATGCAAAAGCACTTAACCTGATGTTTTGCAAAAGAACTGACATCTCTTGAAAAGTTTCACATTTTGTCACATTGCCACAATCATCAATGTATTTTGGCATCAGTCTTTGATAAACCGTAATCAGAAAGTGGGAGATCAATTTTATCATGTTTGCATAAATTTCCCACAGTGGACCTTGAAAAGTAGTGATCATCCATGATCACTAGAAGAGCAGATATATCCCAGATTGCTTTGCAAGAGCTCTCCTTGCAAAGCATTATAGGATTTGTTGTCACAGCGGCCCAATGTCGACTTGTGAAAGCAAAGAAAAATAACAAAGATAGTGCATGCACCATGCGGGGAGCAAAATAGTAGACATCATCGGTCCGCAAGGTCAGTTTACTGAGTCCATTATGATTGAGGGATTTAGGGTTTAAGGTGGACGTTCGGACACAACAATTGCCTTCTGACATTGCAGAACAAATATAAGAAGTATATATTTTTTTGTTATTTTAATTCCATGTAAATGCAGCTTTTCAGAGAGGTTCCAAGAGCTTTCATATAGTAAATTAAAAGATAATTTTAAAGACTGGCTGTGACTAACAATTATTTTAGTAATAATGATAGATTTGTATCGTTTTTCAAATACTAATTAAGTAATTAAAGTAAAAAGGTAGTGAAACTAGCAGCCAGTTTAGACTTTTTTCTATTTTTTCATAAGCAAAAACACAGACATTCTGTAGCTGGAGTACTCCACCAGTGCAGTTCGGCAAGCGACATCATGACTACCGGAGAGAGTGGGAAGTTAGTTCTGAAAAAAGGTAAAAAATTATCTGTCGTTTGGAACTGGTTTGGGTTTGCTGCGACAGAAGTGGAGTCGCAGTTAAAGGCAGCAGCACCACAAACCAGTCTCTCCAGGACGAACAAACCAACAAACCTCGGCTTGAAACTGATGTTGAAAGGTGATAATAATTTAATTTAATTCAGTCTATCTATAAAGCTCCAATTAACATGGGAACAGCTGCATTCAGAATTATTTCTGTAAATTGCCTTGAGATATCATGTGTTGTGAATTGGCGCTATATAAATAAACTGAATTGAATTGAACACGTCACCTCAAGGCACTTTAAAATTCAACCGATCATACAGTCAAATCGATTCAACATTTCCTATCTAAGGAAAACCAGTTAATTGCTTCAACTCATTGGCTTGAAGGCAATCCCTCACACCAAGCATGCTCGTAGCGACAGTGGAGAACTCCCTTTTAAATGGAAGAAACCTCCAGCAGAATCAAGCTTAATGTGAGCGTCCGTCTGCCGAGGCCGACTGGGGTTCAAGGAGAAAGAAGCAGAGCTGCAAAAGGGAACTTTAAACCAGCTCCACAGGCAGAAAGCTCCGAGCCACCTCTGATGTCAGAGGATGAAAAGAGCAAAACAAACATACCAAACATCAACTGGAAATGTTTGTAGAAGCTAGGGTGATTAGCAAGTCTGTTGGCATTAGTTAAAAGGATCGGACTTTTCTTATGGTAAAGAAAATGACTTTATGTGGGGATTTTCTCATCTCATGAAATGTTTTTATTACGAATATGCTGGATTACTTTTTAGCTGTGGACCCTTACGGACAAATGGAATGTAAACAACCTAAGATTGGCTTTACATTCAGGATCACTTCAAACGTAGGAATTGGAAGCTTAATTTTAAAAATTCTGATTTAATATGCTGCTATATCTTTATTAATTGTGCTTTGGTGCTCATGGTGTCCATTAAAGGAACTTTGTTAAATTGTGTAGATTCTAAGCTTTCTAAGGATGTATAACATGTACATATTAGTAAAAACTTAACCTGTGTTATTTTCATGTGTTAAGAGGTGGCGGGGAAAATTGGAAAAAAATGGTAATTTCTAAATAAAAATGAAACAATCTGAGTTTTTATTGTTAGGCCATAACACCCATATAGCCCTATGTAATAATTTCATTTAGTGCATTTTTTTCTATTACATTTCTTAAATATTTCACAGAAATTTATTTCATTATGTTATATATTTTAATACAGAAAAAAACAACACAAATCCACAGAACGGAAAAAAACTATCTCTAAGTGTACAGTATAACGACAGCGCGTATAGCTGATACATGTATTCTGATCTGTAGAGGAGCCTCTTATATAGAGTTAGTTTAATTTGGCAGTAAGTTTGGTGAGATTTTAAGTGATCCCACAGTTTTCAAATATTTATTTATTTAGTTTTTTGCCGCTTCTTTTTCACCCTTACTTCCTCCCTCCAAAGCTGATAACTACACTTGGATTATGAGCAGCATAAGCCACTGTTAATGTACAACACAAAGAGCCACCCAGCATAAACACAGGGTCTGAATATGTAAATACAATTCAATAAAACATCGAGGCAGATCATTTCGCTTAAGGGACATTAGTAACCGGCTAACTTGAAATATATTAGCAAGCAGAAAGCAAAAACATTACAACTGCCCATCATCCTAATCGGTTGTCCTGTAAAAGTATATTTCCGGGAAAAAAATGGCCTACTCAAAGTAACTTCATCTAATTAGGACACCCTGACAACACTTAATAATTAATGCTCAGGTTTTTCCCTCCAATCTGCCTGAACTTCAGCAGTTCTGCTAACAAGAAATGACAAATATTTCCTTCGTTTATAAAAATAATGTATCCCAAACTGATTTTTCCCCCACTTCATAATTATGAGGTACTTGGTGTTGGTTGGTTACATTTAAACCAGGGGTTGGCAACCCGCGGCCCCGGAGCCACATGCGGCTCTTTAGCGTTCCCCTTGTGGCTTCCTGGAGCTTTTTCAAAAATTAATGAAAATAGTTTTTTGTTTTTTTTTGTTTGTTTTAATATGGTGTGCAAGAGGTCAAACAAAAATTTAAAATAATTATGTTTTCCAATGCTGTAAACATTTGTATAATGAATAAATTTAAACAATAATTTGCGTCATAGCCATAGAGATCAGTGGTCATAACTTGCAACCAGCGCTGCGCGGTGTCAGGCAAACAAAGCTGCTGGAGTGTCTCGGACCATGGATCCCAAAGGGGAAAAAAGGAAGATAGCTGTTGAGAAAAGAGAATTCAAAGGGAGGACCGAATCATTTTCTTTCATTGTCAATGTGGAAGGATTGCCTGCATTTTTGCTTGGTAATGAGAGGTTGGCAAAAAATAAAAATAAAAATTTGGAAAGGCATTTCCAGGGAAGGCAAGCTAAATATGCAGCCGATCACAAAGGTGGGAGGGAGAGAAAAGGTGTGATTGCAGAACTTCTGGATAAATTGCTCTGTTGCTCCCAACAGAAACACTACCACCATAAAAGGATTCCTGTATTGTGTTTCTATCATTTCATCAATGCAACAAAACTTAAACCGTGCGGTGAAGGACGGTTAAGCGGTGCGCGGTGGGAGCGTTCCTTGCTCCTCCCTCGCCTCATGCTGCTATGTGACATTTGCTCCAGGATAAACATTTAACCATGAATGCTTATTATATATTTAAGCCCAGAAAGTCCTTTTCTATAGTTGGATAATACGCTTAGAGCCCGTGTTGCCATAAGAGGCTTATATAATACTTTTACATTTTTGCGGCTCCGGACAGATTTATTTTTTGTTTTTTTGGTCCAATATGGCTCTTTGAGCAGTTTAGGTTGCCGACCCCGGAATTAAACCCAATTAAAAACATCAAAGTTCATGGTCTTAATGTGACGAAATGTGAAAGGACTAGGATCTGTGTTGACACCCTTAAAAACAACAGATTCCAGATGATGATAAGGGAGTTTACCACTGTGCAGCCATTGTGCAGGTTATGCTGGTCCTTATGAGCATGGGCGCAGAAGTCCATACAAGCTGTGATTCCAGAGAACGGACGGCCTTCCTTCAAACCCAGCCTGCACTCTGGAGCTCGGTGCTCTGCTGCACACTGAGGTAAAGGAAAATGTTTAAATTAGCTACAGAAAGGAACCATGTGATCAAACTTACTTTCTTGCATTTAGCACTGATTCAACTAAATTAGTTGTTGCTTTAGTTTAGACTAAAACATATGCTAAAGTGAAATGGGTTAAATAGCGCACAGGCTTGTGAGTTTCAGATTAATTTGTGATTAGCCTGGGCTACAAACCTGGTTGCTGTATGCCTGTGGGGCCAGTCGCTTGTACAAAGGAGCCACCTCCGTCGCCAGATTTTGGAAATTATCCCTGAGTTTCTCCTCCTGACAGAGAGAAACATTAAAAACATCATAGAACTCACAAACTATGAAGATAAAGGAAAAGAATCCAAACATGTGCAGCAATTTTGATGTGTTTGATGCGTACCTCTTCAGGATGATCTCCTTGAAGCCTGAACTTGCGTGGTGTTTTGCTTCGGGCGTATTTACAGCCATTAAAGTACATACTCCAGGAGCAGCCGAATGAGAAGGAAGCACCACATTTTTCTGAGTCTTTACCCTGACAGGCACAGGTACGACTGCAAGGGACAGAGACCACAAACTCTCAACTGCCTTAAAAAATGTTAGACATCCTGTGCATTACATTTTTATTTTTGAGTTTTGAAAATATTTGTGGAGAACATCAGGCAAATATATATAAGAAAACAACATAAGAAACAAAACATAAATATTCATTTATCATGAAACTGTGTTGGAGAAAATATTAAACATTCATAAAAGCATACAGCAATTCCTCACACTGAGCCTGCATGCAGCAATGGTGGAGAGTAAAAACTATCTTTTAACAGAACCAGACTCAGTGTGAGCAGCTTTCTGTCAAAGCTAACTTGGGGTTTTAAGGACACAGATGCAGAAACACAAAAGGAGCCTAGAAGTAATGATTCCATAAATACTTTTGTGTTAGGAAAAGTAACAGTAAAGCAGCCCCATAGGTGGCTCGTTCTAGGAAAATTAAGGCAAGCAAGCTCTGAGACAGTTCAAAAGCCGAAACTGATAAAAGAAAGCAAATGCAGTTATTCACAGTAAAAGCTGAGCCCATAGCTATGTCTAGGAAAGCAACAGGACCCTACACTAAAAAACTGATATGTTTCATTCCTGATTCCTGATAACCTGCTCAGGCAGCTGGTGCAGAATCATTGCCCTCTATGGCTTTTGGTTGATTCTGAATGTAAGCTTACATTTAAAAGAATGTGAGAACAAAAAAAACAAAAAACTAAACTATAACCTTAAGAAATTAATAAAATAATGTCTTTTACACTACCCTTGAAAAACCGTGCCGAGACCAGTCTGAGCTCAGTAACTGAGATAACTTATTGTGTGTAAATGGAAAGCAAACTGAACTGAACCGAGCTAGACACAACCGGACCGCGCTAACTGCAGACCACTTCCAGAGGTGGGCTCAGCTCGGTTTTTTCCTGGCTCGGTTCTCTGATAACAAGAGCGCATGAGCAGAACGCGTCATCTCCGTCTGGCTGCACATCCCGATTCACACTCCATTCCAGTAGTTGGCGCTAATGCCCCTCCAGAAACAGAAGAAGAAGAACCACTCCTTCCTCAACTATAAACAACAATCGAAATCTTCTCCTCGCAACATTTTAAATGATGGCATTTTAAATAATAACACCGAAGTACAGCAATAATAATCAAGCATAACTTTCTGAATGTGGCCCGCGCCGCCATTTTGATTTGCTTGATTCCCTCCTTTGTCTTCTTCTTCTTGTGTTTTCTGGCGGTTGGCAAACAACTTTTGGTGCATTACCGCCACCAACTGTTTGATTTCCTCCTTCAATACTGGCAGTAATACCGCAGATCGTCACAAGGAGGCGAGGAGTCGAGAAACTGAGATAGCGTGATGTGTAAACGGTCGTCAGAACGGACCGGTCTCGGCATGGATCGGTTTTTCAAGGGTAGTGTAAGTGGGGTAAAAGTTGCTGACTGTAATTATCATTTTTGTAATTCTACAGATTGCTTAACATCTGTGCAAAAATACAGCATTGTTATATTATATTGAAGAGCCAAACAACATTGTTCTTCTATTCACAGAAAAAAAAAATATATTCTTAGTTTCCTTTCTTTGGTGTTTACTTGTAGTCATTTGAAGAACGGTTATTCTGGAATGTGCAATGTTGCTAAAATACAGAACCAATTTATGGTGTTGAGATGAGCATGTCCTTTCAGCTACTCACTCGTCATTGAGCCCGCAGCGTCGGCTGGTGGGGTTGCCATATTTTGTGAGGGTGTCTGTCACCTCATGGTAAAGCTTGTCTGCCAGGGCTCTTGGGATGCCTTCCCAGGCTAAAATGACGATGACGATGACTGCGTTTGCACAGTGGTGGCCAGCACGCTGACGCACCAGACACAGCAATTTCTCTTTCTCACTGCTTCGACGAATCACCTGTTAGGAGATCAAATACTGCATGAAGTGATTCCATTTTTAATCCACAAACTCAAAAAACAACATGTTAATTAGATTTCAGAAGCTAGTGTTTTCAGTGTTTGCAGTAGCTTTGATTGTCCAGTAGATGTCCAGCACACATACCGTAATGTATTTTATTATGAAGAGGGAGGGGTAGATCATGAGTTCACAGAAGCCTTAAACCAAAACATATTTACACACTGGAAAACTCTAAATCTAGATAAGTCATTTTTTCTTAAAATAAGTGCATTTGTTCTTGGATTGAGGAGGTAAAAGAGACATCTTGCCAATGGAACCACACAATTTACATTTAAAATAAGAAAACACAATTCTACTGTCTTCTTTCAATTGCATTTTATCTAATTATCTTATTTTCCTTTACCTGCTGAAATTAAGGGTAAATACACTTAATTTAAGATATTTTTTTACTTATTTCTAGATATTTTTTTCCAGTGCAAACTTAAACCCAAAAAGATTCAAACAAATCACAAAAAAAGAGAAAATCTTTTCCATAATGTCCAACGTTAAATCAGCCACATTTTCTTAAGTCTTTGTTACTTAGGCAAACCAAATGAAGCTCTAATTGTTTTTCTTTCAGTTCTATTCATCTTTTAAACTATATTCACCAGTACTTCTGCAATCCTCTCACAACATATTGCTTGAATATTTATTTATTCCCTCTGAAAGACGAAGTAATTGAATCATTTTGTAGCCAGATTTGCTTAGAGAAACACCTTTTCAGCTCAGCCCGCACGTCTCCCATAGGAACGCGATGAGGACTTTGTGATTGGCAATGCAAAACTTTAGATTTGCTGTTCTATGGCAACTTTGTGATCAATTTGGAGGCTTTCTTAAAATCAAGTAGAGGTTTATCTTCCTAGCCCATGTCTCGAGATGCTGCTTGAATGTTTCTTCATAGCATTCCTTCTTCCTTCCTAAACTAAAACCCCTGCAAACCTCACTTCTGTGTTTTTAGTCAGAAATTCGAATTGTTCTTCCGAATCACAATGGTGATTATAGCACAATAGTTTGTGTTTTCATCAGACCAAATGACATTTCTCCAAAAACAAACGTTTTTGCATTTGCATCACATAATCTAACGAAACTCTCTCGTTAGCTTTAGCCACATCTTCATAAGGTCTTTTGCTTTTCTTTCTGTTCATATCCAAAAATTTACAGCCGAGACACAGAACCTGTTTCCAAGATTTTGTCATTTGTTCAGTTCCAACATCTCCACATTCTCATGCTGTTTATGTTTGCATATGATTCTTAGAACAGAGAGATGTGGGACCTAGAGGCAAATGTAAATTGTACCCAAGTGTGCCATGAACCAGTTTGTGGGAGTCCACAATTTTCTTTCTGATAGCTTACCAAATTTCTTTCCATTTTTTTATTCTGTTTGGTTTGGTGTTTTTAAATAGTAAGACTGTATATTGTATTTCTTACTGTGGGGAACAAGTTTGTTTCTCTGCACCACCCAAATATGCACAAAAATACATTCCTTCCATACAAATCAGTGCTTGATTTGCTGTCACACTTTTCACGATGGCCACACATGTTTTTTGAAACTCTGATTGTTGGCTTTAAGTGTCCTGTTATCTACCACCCACTGTTGGGCAAACAGTCCTACTTACCCACTTGGCAATTGGACAACCATGGGAGCTCTTTCCCTCTTTGCCTGTGTAAACCACCTTCTCAATCCGGACGGCTTCCCCCTTCTCTCCATATCTACAAGGAAACAGACAATTTAGCCACAAAACACAATGGAGAAACATTCCTCCTGATAACTGCAAATTGTAAAAGTATGGAAATGTTTGTAAAGTTGTAGGGTAGCACTTCATCAGCTGATCCAATTAGCCAAACAGAATGATGTTTTTTTCCTCCATCCATCCATCCATTTTCTTACACGCTTGTCCCGAGTGGGCTCGCAAGGGGTGCTGGTGCCTATCTTCAGCAGTCAATGGGCGAGAGGCGGGGTACACCCTGGACAAGTCGCCAGTCCATCGCAGGGCAACACAGAGACACACAGCCATTCATGCACACACTCACACCTAAGGACAATTTAGATAAGCCAATCAACCTAACAGTCACGTTTTTGGACTGTGGGAGGAATGCTTTTTTCCTATCCATACAAAAACTTTAATGGTCATTGTATGAAACACATTCAGATGTTAGGCTGTAATACTGTTTTGGTATAATATACTCTCTTTTAAGTGCAGAAACCCAGAAAAAGCCTTGGAACATAGAGTGACACAAGGTTTGCACATTATTTGTATTATTTGTACAGTAAAAGTCATCCTTTTGAAGCTATCTGGAAATGAATTAATGCACTAAACTTCCTTGTTTAATAGGAATGAGTTAGTAGATACCATGCCTGATATCCAATTGAATTGCTTTAACACAAGCTGATGTTAGTTTATTGTGTGTTTCTTTGTTTACAGTATATGCAACAACTTATGATTGCATGTTTTTAAATTCAGCATTAAGAACAATTCTGAATTTCCCAGTAACCTTTAACGGCATCAGGGGCTGAATCCTTTTAAATGTAAATGTAATGTAAAATTTAGTTCCTATGCTCCACTTATCTGGAACAAACTTCCAGAAAACTGTAAAAGTGCCTGAGTTCCTTTAAATCAAGACTAAAAACACATTTGTTTAGGATTGCCTTCGACTGTTCTAGTTAAACAGTTCAACTAAAACATATTTTCTTTAATCCAACTGTTTTTAATATTCTTTTTTTGTTTCTGCATTTTTTATTTTATTTTATTTATTTATTTTTTCCTACTTGCTTTGATTCTGTTTTATTTTCCTGTATTTTAATCATGTAAAGCACTTTGCATTGTCTTTGTACTGAACTGTGCTATACAAATAAATTTGCCCTGCCTTGCCTTGCCGAAACTTTCTGCAGGATCAGGCCCTCTCATGGAGATCTGTTCTGATTTTAGTAATACATGAATGCATTTATTTCTATGCTGACACATGCTTTTCAGGGATGTTTTGTGTTTCTCTGTTAGGTGCACTGAAGGAAGAACAGAGGTCGGAGGTTGTTCTGGGGCATCGCCAGGTCACCAGAACCTGTCACATATCTGTTCGCAGCTCATATCAGGTCACCCCCGCAGTTTGATACCTGCCATTGTGAAAATCTCAGTCCTGAGCAGATTTGGCGTGACAGTGAGGACAAGGGGCTCCCAGTGAATAGAGGAGTCACCCTGCTGTACCTCAGAAAGCCTGAGGATTAACGGCTGTTACTATAGAGAGGGGCTTCTGGGTTCAGAGGTGGGTCAAAGGTCAGCCAGGGACAATGAGCTCCTCACATCTTACGTCATTTCTCGAACAACAATCAGCTTTGGCATCCCCCCCCAACACTTTAGAGGGTTCATGAATCACAGCACAACAGATCCCATCCTTAGCCTGGGACAACACAATGTTCAATAAATATACTACTGTATACAGTATAAACACAGAATCTACAGTACAATTTATGGGGCATGTGTTGAGAATGGATTACTTCTGATATCCAACACTAGTATGTTTGTTCTAGCAGCTGTTTATGCTAGTTAACATTTTGAACAGCAAATTCAGCCTGTTTTGCATTTATTGTTCTGTTAAAGCATTTTTTTAATCAGCATCTATTCTTCCTTCCTGCTCCCATGCTCAGCTGCTACTGCTACTGCTACTGCTACTCCACACACTTCTTGCTCAGCCTGTGATATCTTGATAATACTTATTTTCCAGTTCCACCAACTAAATTCTGGGTCATGGATTCCCCGAGGGCAAAACAAGAGGAGGAAAGTTGGAGAAAAGGAAGGGAGGAAGGCATAGACATGCAGGTGAAAGTGGTAGAGAGTAAGGAAAACCAACAGAAGAAATGACACACCTCATCTCCATCAGGCTGCGTATCGAGGCTACTGTAGGTCCTGATCCCAGGTGATTGTAGTATGGCCCTTCATCTTTCTCAATGACTTGTTCTTAAATAGAGAGAATACAGAATAAGGAATCAACATGCAAATATCTCAAATCACTTAAAAACTGTATTTTACAACTTTTAATACAATGCTTTAGACATTTATTCTCATTGCAGTAGTGTGACCAGCAGAGGGCGTTATGCTTTCCTTTCAGCCTAATAATTTCTTTGCAAAATGTAACCAGAAATTAAAAGTTTTTTCTTAATATTTTTCTAAATAGTGCGACTTTGCATTGGTATTCAGCCATATTTACTCTGAAACCTTTAAATAATTAATTGCCCTCAGACATTACATGATTATTAGTCAACTTATGATTCCAATTCAGTATAAACAGCGGTTTTATGAAGGCTTCAGAGGTTTGTTAGGGAACATTACTGAACTAACAGCATCTTGGAGACTAACTAAAACACAGCAAACTGGTCAGGGAGAAAAGTTGCTATGTGTGGTAAAAACCCTTTGTATCACTTTAAACATACAATCCCTGAAGTGAATCAGTGGTGGCAACATCATGCTGTGGGAAGACCTTTCTTCAGCTGGGACAGGGAGAAATTGATTTCATGTATCTAAAATCTATGTCAGAATCTGTGTCTGCACTTAATGTCTGCTCACAGATGCCAATCATCCAGTCTTACTCAATTCAAGCTGATTTATAGGCGAATAAGCAAAAGCTTAAAGGTATAGTGGAGGATATTCATGAATTTTTGAAAAGACCCACCCTCTCCACTTGTACCCTGTACCCACTCCTGAGAGGGAACAACTATTAAATGCGTGCGAGAACATGCATGAGCTTATTTCTCCTCATGCACGCTCTGTTTAAAAATTGCTGTTTGCATTGCTCATGCAAGATTACTTTCCAAAAGAAGATTTGCAACTTTTCCACTAAGTCAGACTCACCACCGGTAAAATAGCTACCTTGGGACCAGCACGTAGGACGGCCTTACTTAAATATATCACCAGAATGATGAAGAATTAGGATGACCAGTTATTTTGATGATTCACCTGGAAAATAATAATTGAACTTCATTGATCACATTGGATAAATTTACCTCTTCATTTAACCCATCCCCTTGGGGGGCAGTGGGCTGCCATCGTCGGGCGAACAGGGAGAAGTGTGGGGATAAGAGTGGCAAACTCAGAACTTCAGGATTCCAAACTCTATACCCTAACCTCTAGGCCACCACTCCCCTTTAAGAACATCCTCCACTATACCTTTAAGTGTATTGATGATGGAAGCTGATATTTCCTATAACAGTGACACCAGTAATTACAAAGCAAGATATTTCTGCATTGTTTGCATATTATACAGGTGAGTTTCTACCTCAAACTGTACCAGATTAATCTGAAACAGTGTGCCACATGTTTTAACCATTGCATAGCTTTAATCAATGGGCAAAGTAGTTCATTAACTCTCTATTTAAATATTGTCTCAATGTAACTTTTTTATTAAATTATTTTCTAAGATGCATATGTGCAATAGTAAGGGATTTGTAAGTGTTTCTGGTTAAAAGGCAGCGTGAGGTCACATTTTCTTGGCTGTGCGTTGAGGCACTAAGGCGTGGCTCGTGGGAGATAGTGGAGGAATCATATTCCTATGTGAAAATACTGGAGGTGTGTGTGTGTGTGTGTGGGGGGGGGGGTTTCTTAAATTATAGTGTTTAAAGCCTAACTATGTTTCTAGATAGCAGTTAGTTTCTGGTGCGGTCCTATCCTAGATGAAGCTAATCAGATACTGCGTCCAGAAGATTTATTTAACTGACTTGCTTAAAACTTTGGTTAAAAATAAATATCTGCGAAATCAATGAAATGCTTACATTTCTTGACACCGCTCTCAGGAACTAAGAAGCTACAGTTTCTACCCTGATAAAAGGGCGGCAACAGTCAGCTGGCAAAATGTATTGTTGGGATAGAGAATGTCAATGCCTCACATTTGAAATCAAACCACCAACAAGATTTTGGATATAAAGTAGCTCTTTATAGCTATGATATTTTACATATCGCTAATGGCATGACAACTGCCAATCAAATGTAAATAAACTTACAAAAAAGGGTGTGAAGCAATGTATAAAACAAAAAATGCTCTGTGTCTGGCAAATATTTGGATCTGCTTGTTTACCCCCCCCTCCACAAAGGGCTCTGTCTGCCAACACTGCTATTGTTCCTGCCTGCTTCCTTAGTAGCTCATGCTGTTGTCGTCTGGATGATCACAGGCTTAAAACCCAGTACCAGAAACATTATCTGACATAAAGAAATTTCCAGGCAAGAGCTTGTAGTAAGGTGGATCATTTGCGCAGACTAAGAAAAGAAGTACTAACATTTGACACTAACAATGAGCATGCTTCTTTGCCCTGTTTTAAAAGCTCTATTAACACACATGTTTATGTGCTGACAGCAATGCATTCACTTACCAACACATGTACAGGTTGGGAAATCTAATTGTGGGTCCTTGATTGGAGTATCCAGCAGGTTCTTTGCGGGTGTGTCTAGGTAGCGCAAGGGGGAGTCCAAAAAGCCTTTTAGAGATGGTGAAGAATTTAGGCCATCCTTTATTGGTGTTCCCTCCTCAGAATAGCATGTGGTCGACAGTACCGCTAATTCTCCTGAGGCTTCAATTTTAATTCTTTTAGGGAGTGGAGAGTCTTGTATGCCCAACACATCCTCTAGCATTCTTCGATGAAGCTGCTGCTTGACCAAATTGGTTTCCTGATTCATCGAAACATCAACGGGGCTCATATGTTGATTGCCCAAAGACCCCTCTGTGGATGGCTGGCTATCTGTTAATCCACTTTGGGTATCTGATTCAATCTTGTTGAACTGCATTTGCTGATCATCTGAATGAGGTGTGGTGTTGGCTTGAGGAGTAGAAATTGAGGAAACAGACTGGGTGTTGTGTGATGATGTAGGACTGAGGCCCTGAGGACTAATCTTGGATGGATTTTCGGGGATAGGGGTTGAAGTGCTCTTCTCCTTGTGCTGACTCATTGATGTGTCTCCAAATTCAGCCTCAAATTGGCGAATCAGTTCTTCAAACTTTGGATCTATGTTAATGACTTTCTCCAGTTGTGTGGTGCTGGAAGGACTTGAGGTCACAGGGATGGCACTGCAGGTATTAGTGGAGGTTAAGCTGATGCCTGCACCTAGTGATTTTGTGATAGCTGCAGGAAACACAGGTGTGGACAAAAGGTCCATAAGAGCTGGAGCATTTTCTGATGTAACAGTGGAAGAAGGAGTTAGTGAGGTGTTGGAAATAGATTCCTGAGATTTTTCTGGGGCAGGGAGACCTGCAGCAAAGGCCTGAGTGGATGTACTGAGGGGGGCCAAAGAGGGGAGAGAGCATATCTGCAAATTTGTCAAGGATGGCGATCTGTCAACCATCTGATTTGATGTTTTTTGTACAGCAATTTGAGTCTGAGGGAGAAAGGTTGGCATGGAGGCTTTCTGTTTGTTCTTCTTAATGATAATCTGTTTGGGCTTGGGTTGGGGAGGACCTATAAGCATACTGGGAGATCCTTGGGAGGTTTTCCTCCTTTTAGGTTCCTGTTTGACTGGTAGAGGGGGTAAACCTTCTGTATCTATCTGTGGCCACCATTTCTTTAAGTCTTGGCAAGTCATAGGTGCACGAGCGCCTGGTGTTCCAAAGCTAGAAGGGTGAGTATGAAACAGATTTCTCTTGTAACGAAGGTGTTGTTGCAAAGCTGCTTGAGTGCAATGACTTATGGCTGCTTGGCTTGGAGACATAAGATTTCCAGGATAAAGCTGCTGCTGTTGACCATTTGACATTCCATAATGTCCACTTTGGGGGTTGTGATGGTAGTGCTCACCAGAGTCTGGCTCTTGTTTAACCCTGGGCAACACTTGATTACCTTGGACATGAATTCCACCATTCTGGTTCAAGTTAAGCTGCTGTGAGAGTGGAAGCTTAAAAGAAGCATTTTTGAACTTTGTGTCACCAAGAAGCTGTTTAAGCTCTGACATGGGGTCCGAGTAATTTAGGGGAGCAGTTGCAGACTTAAAATGTATCAATGTATGCCTCTGTTCAGGACCTCTATCAGAGCCCTGTGTCCACTGCTGAGGATTAGAATTGAAACCTGCAGCTTTGACCTGACTTGGGAAGGGAGAGGTAGAAGATGGGAGAGGGGAAGCACGGGCTGGATGGCCCTGTGACTGGGGTCTATGGTTTTCAAATGAGGCTGGAGACTGCTGATTGTTATGTACTCCTGGAGGGACAGACTGGGTTTGTGATGAGGAGTTGTCGTTAAGTGAGGAAGAGATCAAATTAGGTGTGATGTTTTGTGTGTTTTGTTGGTTATGGAAGTTATTTCTAAAGAAAGTTTGACCCGGAGAACTGACTCTTAGAGGGCTTGATAGCTGTGTCAATGCTTCTATTGCAAGGGCGGTCTGAAGACTGACGTTCTTTTCCTTGGCTATCGAGAGCACCTGGGGGGAGCAAGGGATAGGGGGTTTGGAGGACACTTGGTCTTGGTGAGAGTATTGATTGACATCCTGCTGCTCCAAACATTGATTGGACATGTGGTGGATACCATTCACTTGCTGATAGGTATGAGGCTGAGACTGCGAATGGGGTTGTTCCAAATGTGGGGCCTCACCAACTATTTTGTGAGATCTGTGATCCCTTCTAGTTGCTAATTTAATTTTCTTCTCCAACCATTCAAGGTAGTCTGGACAACCAGGCCCATCACAGTTGCATTTGGGGGGCTTCTCCCCATGTTTAGCTTGGCTCAGGGCTGTTTTTAAGATGTCAAGATCTTCCAGAGGTTCGCAGCTTGTTTCAGGAGCTCCTGCAGACACTCTGGAATGAGCGCCATCAGCACATGTCTCTTGAGTGAACTTCTCATATAATAGGGCTATTTTAGGCTGGATAACAAGGCAAGATGAAGCGGAAGAAAGGGGTAAAGAGCTTGCAGTAACAGAAAAAGCCATTAGATTCTGGGCATCTTCCACATCTGCATGGTGGATCCTTTCAGCAGGGGAGGTTCTACCACTGCTGCTCAAGCATGATTGCTGATGTTGGCTGCCATTGACCTTGCTCTGTCCTGGTGTCCAGCATTGCCTTTCAGGCTCTCTTCCTGTCCTCTGCCCGTCTGGTTTCAAAGATGCCTCATCATCATTACAGTAGGGGTTCACCCCATTGGCCAGTTCCAGGCTCAACGTGCCTTCCTGGAGGCGGTCATGTGAACCAATTTCCATCTGGCCTCCGTTTGTGAGGCCATCCACTGTAGTGACTTTGTGAGCAGTCTGAAAGACAAAATAATGACAGGTGAAGTAAATCTCTGCAAAATAAACAATGGTATACCCCAACAAAAAAGAGGTGGTGTAAGTAAGAACAAATAAAGCAATGATGACAAGGACACAAGCAACATTTTTTATCATAGTTGTTTCACATCAGACCCACACTGAGCTAACTCTGTCACAAGTACTACATCAGTTTCACAGTTGGACACTGCACTGTGGATCAGATTGGCTATGCAAAGTAGGCATCTGGAGTTAGAGTTAAGAGAAGCTCATTGTGGCAAAGGTAGGTCAACAGATACAAAATGATAATGGTTGATTACAAAGAAGTAAACTTATATTATTGTTACCTAAACTTAACTAAATTCAATATTATATCCTCAACTGCTCAAGTTTTTATGGCTATATGAGATAATGATCAAATTAAACCATTTTAAATTCGATTGGATTCAGTTTATTTATATAGCTCAAATGTACAATATACATAAGTTATATAGTAAGTTATATATATATAAAAACTTATAAGTTTCTATCAAGAAAACAGGCAACAGTTGATTGCATCCAATCATTAACTTGCAATACATACAAGTGATGTATTAATGATTCACCTTTGGTGATGAGCTTAAAGTGTTGAGACTCAAAAAGCCTCTGTGTGGTTGTCCTAATCTTTAGCTCCCGCAATCATTTTACCTCACTTTGGAGATCAGAATAAAAATAAAAACTGTTCTAATTAGAAGAAGTGTGGTTAAAATAACAAAACAGGCTTCTATAAACGTTAACCTACCAGGGTGTCAGTAATTTTAGGCTTAGTGATAAGAAATAAAATAAATTCTTAAAATATACAGTTTATGTACATATAATTTGGGCTTTGCTGAGTTTCTGAGTTTTGCATCAACATTGTCACATTAGTTAGATGCAAAGCAAAATGTATACTTTAGAACCTCAGAGGACAACTGGGATTCTTGGTGAAACAGTAAAAGAAGGTTTTCTTTGAGCGGAGCCAAGGCTGTAATATTTGTTGGTAATATGTTACTTAGTCATGACACACACAAAAAAGAGTAGATAATCATTTAACAATTATCCACCCAAGCTCAACTTGAAGCTCATTGTTAAAAATAATTCACTTCAACTTAAAACAAATTAATAGTAAAACAAACAAAATGGTGGTAATGGTCTTCTGTCATTTTTTGTGATAAAACATGTAATGAGTAACTTAAAAAAAAAAACCTAAGACAAATAATTAGGAGAAGCATATGGCATCAACTGGGAAATCACTCGACCAAAAGGCTTCCTCTTTACAGTTTGCCTGGAGTTAATTGTTTTATGAATACACTTACTTTAACAGCATAAGGTTTTAGGAGGATTTTCAAAAGTAAAAGGTTTGAGAATAAATATTTGTATTCAGCCACTATGTTCTTAAATGTATTCAAGGTTCTTAAAAGTATTCTTTCTGTGCTGATGCAAAATGCTTTGAACGTATTGAAGTAAACCTTGAGGAAAAGCATTTCCTTTTTACAAGCAAAAGATAAGGTGTCTCTTTACAGCTGAGAAGCTGATTCAGCTGCTTAAATGTCTTTCAAGAAGTAATACTATTCATCGAAAACTAACTTCTCCTGAGTTTTAAAATCGATAAGTCTACTTGGAGGTAGTTCAAAGTTGCAAAGTGCTCTCTCCCAAATAAAGGTCACTGCTGTCACATAAGTTTTTACAATTCCACCTTTTTGAAGAAAACAACTACTTACTATGAGCCAAATTCATTTGTATCCTACTACCTTTCTTGCAGCATTCAACCCAGTCTCACTCATTTTAGATTGATCTCCAAGTCAGGGGGACCAACAAATAAAGACGATTTAAGGGCATGTTCAGAAATCATTAACAGAGGTTATGTCTTCACTGAAAAGTATATTCCAACATGCTCAATGGTTTAGTGAAAAGGAAACACTGTCAGACTTAATGGTTACTTAGCACTATTGCAGAAGGCCAACAAACTGTAGGGCAGTTGAAGAACTGAAATTATGTTTTGATCAACCTTTAGCTTGAACAGCTATGGCTTGTGTCAGACCAGCTAAATTAACATATCACCAGGTCTTATAGAAAAATGAATATTTTTGCTAATTGAGAAGATAAGAAGAAGACTAAGCAGATATTTAATGTATAAATGAAATGAAAAACTTTATCTTGTACGTTGGTGCTCCTACAGAGAGCAAAACTTTGGAAAAGTGCGGTTAATTTAATCTTTAGGCTCCTTCCTCCTTAATACTTCCTCAAAGAATCAGATTTAAGATTTTACAGCATATCTTCAATTATCACAAGGAGTTGAATTATTTATCCTGCTTTTTCCATCAATATCCTTGATTTTTTTTCTTTCCCGAATTACCTGAAAAATCTTAGGATCACACTCGTTTGAGAATCAGTTTCTTTGTAACCTCTGTAAAACATCACATATTTTCCACCTAACAAGTGTTCCCAACCTGAGCTAAAAAATGAACACAACATATATCAAAATGGCTTCCTTAATCTTTAAGTTAGGGCACTGCCTCTGTCCACCGATCTAATGTAAAGAGTCACTATCCATAGGTGAAGGAATTACATATTGCAAAATAAACACCTATATATATATATATATATATATATATATATATATATATATATATATATATATATATATATATATATATATATATATATATATATATATAAATAATAGTTCAATACATATAGCTGTATGTATCTAATTTTTTATAGGGATAAAACCCCTCATTATAGGAAGACAAAAGTAGGTTATGATGCAGCTAAGGCTTATTGTTGTTGAGAGTTGCTTTATTTTATCTTAGGATGTTTTTGTTTTTTTTAACATGCTGAAAATACAGTATATTGCGTTTACGTTTCCCATTGCTGGTATTTTCTTTTTTATTTGATTATATATTATATATTTGTTTTTACACAAGAGAAACATGTAAAAATCTGTAAGAAGAACAACTCTTTTTTGGAAAGTTGTACTTCTTGGGTCTAGACAGGAAGTACACTCTCTGTCCGGCCAGGAAGTCCACAAGGAAGTCATCTTCACTGTCTTGAGTGGGTCAAGCTCCAGGTGCCTGCGACAGCACCAGTGGAACAGCCAATCAGCCATTGGGTAATGATGGATGGTGATAATTAGACAATTATCACCATCCTGAATCAGACAAAAGACTCTGATGCTGTCTGCAAACACCATGAGTTTCAAAACCAGGTTGGCTGTAGTGCAAGTTAATTGCATACAGACAGAAGATCAATTGGAACAGAACATACCCCTGAGGGGCGCCTCTGCTAATGGTTCCGAAGCTGTGATCTGGAAAAGCTTTTAAGTGGATGCACAGGTTAATTTTATTTATGTAGGCATTTTTAGCAATGAATCCGTTTGTTAGCTGAGGATCTATTTTTTAGATTCCTGCTGTACCTTCACTTGTCTGACTTGGATCTTTTTGATGAGTTTGTTCTTGGGCTGTTTATACAGGGCTTAGTACCTCCTAAGGCTGGACCCTGACCTCACATTTCAAAGGGTCAGGTTAGGTTCTTCTACAATAAAGTTAGCCTTTTGTCACCTAAAGAACATCTCCAAGATTAAAGGACAAATGTCTCAGCAGGACCTTGAAAAACTAAATCATGAGTTTATGTTTAGAGGGATTGATGACAGCAACCGTGTCTTCACAAGTCTGCCAATAAATTGCTCAGACAGCTGCATTTGATCCAGAGTGCTGCTGCATGTATCCTCACCAAAACTAAGAAAATGGTTGCACATCACCCTAGTTCTAAAACTGAAACAATATCTCAGAGAAAATACTTTGAAATAAGCTTATATATTTTAATTATTCACCTTTGTTCTCTTTAATTATTTGTTCTGCCTTCATACCACTGCAAATTACTTTTCCCTTCTTTCTAATGTATACCATTTTGAATTGTCTTGCCACTGAAATAAAATAAACCGACCTTGCTCTACTGCTGTAAGCCTGTTCTTTGTGTCTAAATAGTTTCCTCAGAAATGTTGTGAAACATCGTTTATTTTTGTTATCTGTGCAAAAGATCTTGGTCAGCAACATGTCCTTAGAGTAACAGTTTCAGCAAGTTTATTCATATCACAAAAAAAAAAAGGCTTATAAACACTCACTGCGAAATCGCAGGCCTCTAACATCTGACTCATTAGTCTATTTCCTCAAAATCAAAAACCACGAGCTTAGAGGTTTTCAGTTTTCCCTGTAAGTTGGAATGAGATAAAGCAGACTGTAATGAGTTATTTGCAGAGATCTGGGAAAGCACAAACACAAAAACACAATATGATTCTTTTAAAGTCACGACACACTGTGTTTTTATCTCTGGTGTGCCACTTAATATACTGCCAGTATTTTAGATGTCCTCTGGTTAAGCCTGTTATGGCAAATTATGACAGTCTTATTTTTCTTTACAATTCTTATCAGCTCTGCAAGCTGTTTTTTAGCCTCTGATATTGCAGGCTTGTGGTTAAATGTAGACGATGACCAGAAAAAACATAAACTCATGAATAAGAGGCATTGCTGTATACAAAAAGACTACAGACAGGGACTACGTCTCCCATAACACTTTATTAGCACATTAAATATTTTGTTATGTAAAAGAAGATTGCACCTTCTCTCTTTTTCCCCAAGAGTAGTCTACATAAAATAGCTGAGAGCACATCTGTAGTACACAGCCTGGGGTGTTCTTAGCAAACCATGTTTCTGTGAAACAAAGCGCTTTAGATCCACATAAATCCAAGTCTTCTGTTTCATTAGTCAGGGAGCAGATATTAGTCAGATATATTAAAAACAAGGGTCTTTGGAGTCTAATCTGAACACATCTGTGCATATATTCTGTCTCTGTGTCCAGTAATTGTCATTGAGGATCCGGATATCTGTGATTACTGATTGGGGGTACCGCAGCTCTTGATCAACGATATCATTTTTGACCCCAACTGACCAATCAAGATATCTCTGTTATCTTGATTGATGAGTTGG